GGGGGAGTAGGGAAGAGGGGGGGCATTCGGAGAGGGATGGCGGCTTTTTTTGGGGGGGGGGGGGGAGAGGAAGAGGAAGGGAAAAAGCAGTCAGGAAAAAGGATTAGCGAGGGGGAAAGGAGGGCAAAAGGGGGGAAAGGGGGGGAAGAATCATAGAAAGAAGGGGAAGCAATGGATCGTCGATGGGGACAGAGAGGGCTTGCCATGGTAATTGACAGCTGGTGTAACGGCCAAATGACAGTGGGGGGATGAATATACCTTGGGCGGCTTGAAAGGATAATCAGGGGGGAAATGGATTCCCACGACGAAGACACCACCCGCATAAGGACTATCTGGTGGGCCCATGATAGTCGCCTGCCAATGGAACATATCATCGCCAGCAGGACCTGCTCCCACACCATAATAACCCACAAGAAACAGAAAACAACGTCAGTGAGATTTAGCTTCAGTGAGAGTCGCAAAAAAAAAAAGAAGGCAGAAGGAAGAAATCCACGGGACGGAATAAAAATGCGGGGCGAAAAAGGAAGACGTCAACAGAAAACACAGAAAGAAGACGGGATAAGGAGATGTGGAAGAAGAGAAGGAAAGAGAGAGAGATTTGGGGGACCAAAAAAAAAAAAAAGCAAAGGAGAGCCAGAAGAAAAAGAGGAACAGGACGAGATAAGAGAAGAAAAACGTGTTTTGGAAAAAAAAAAAAAGACAAAAGAAAAACGTATTTTCAAGGATATACCAACCACTTGCCGACCATTAGAATGGAAGAAGCCCCCAGCACAAAACACAAAAAAGAAATACAACAAATTCCTTAAATAAAGATGTTCCCAAATCATACGATACTCGACGACTGCCGATACACTACACGACAATCGAATGGACCAGTAATCAGATTGATAGGTCAAGGACCTACAATTCGATAAATAAAGAATGGCCGTCCTCTCAAAGAAGACCGAAGCAAAAATAAACAATGCCCGTCCTTTCAAACAACTGGCATCCAATCTCACCACCATCGCCCTCACATCTGTTCTATATCTATCTTGATGAGACTTTGTTTTTTTTCTTCCCAACTCAAAATCCAAATTTCATTTCATAAACAACATACGAGGCCGGGGATCCTCGATCGGTTGGCATCTGGAAGCATCATCCATGATGATCTTTCCACATACGGATGATGTTTCCTGATGAGACAAATATGCAAGAACATCGATAAGAGTCAAACGTCAATAGCAGTGAAATGTTCATGAGTGCAGATCATTACCATTTAATAACGTGATCTATGCAGTGTGACTTATACAGTAATTTATACAGTAATTTATACAGTATAAATTTATACAGTAATTTATACAGTATGGCTGGTGTTTAACAATGTCGCCCTGACAGAGTTTCTCCATAACATCAACCAGCATTGGGGCCACTGTTTGGGAACGAGCAGTGGCAACACCGCAAGCGCGCACTCCTTTCACACAATCGCCTTCCCTCCCTCCTCTATACCTCTCACTTCCTATTCCCTTCTTTGCTGTGTCCTACATAGGGAAACGCGATACTCTCTCTCTCTCTCTCTCTCTCTCTCTCTCTCTCTCTCTCTCTCTCTCTCTCTCTCTCTCTCTCTCTCTCTGTCTCTCTCTCTCTGTGTCCCTCTCGCTCCATCACTCTAGAGGGAAAAAGAGGAGGCGAGAGCATCTCCAAGAAAAAGACTTTTGACAAAGCCAACTCCACAGTCGCTCGATAGATGGACCGCTCTTCGCCACGACAACACCCGTCCGCCGTAGCTAACGAGGAAGGAGATGAAGTCTAATGATGGGAAAGACAACCAAGTAACGAGGAAAAGAAGAGTACACAGGAGGGGAGAGAAAACGTCGCAAAAAAACACAGGAATGGCGGGAACAATGACATGAAACAAGAGTTTTGACTGAGGAGAACCCGCGGAGACTGCGAAAAAGAAGAAAGAGGAGCGTCTCATCAATTGTTCGTTGTTCCACGCTGCGTCCGAAATCTCCAATACACTATTTGCCATATTGCTATACCGACCTTCACCCTAATTACTACGCATATGATTGCTCTACCCAAACTAGTTAAGGCGATCGAGATCAATTCCACTCGTCCAGTAAGCTGAAATCTCGCTGATAAACCCGCCTCCCCCTCCGAAAACATCTCATCAGAATCACGACACGTGGATTTACACAGAGAGACCTACAGGATCACCGCACGTCAAGACCGCACTGATTTCTATGGACTAGAGTAATTACCGCAGTAACTCGTCAGGCTCACAATCTGAATATTATAATTACTGTAGTAACTCGAATCCTACCGGTAGTCCCGCCGCCAATCGCCCTTCCACCCATTTCTACTGGATGATGGAGAGAATTCCAAGTTCTCTGTCGATGTGAGAAGCACACTGCAGTTCTCAATCAACGGCGGCTTCCCCTCAACGCACCCTGATGATGTGCATACAAGCTATCTTTCCGGTCCGATACGTTCATTATAAGGCACTCCACCTTGACAAAAGCCTCCGACTCGTGACCGCTCTTCTAACAGAGTTGATCCGTCCAAGATACCACAGAAAAAACTACTTTCCCAAAGGGGTGCGTTGTGTTCAGGGAAAGATAGTCACATCAATCAATAGAGAGAGAGAGAGAAAGAGAAAGAGAGAGAGAGAGAGAAAGAGAAAGAGAGAGAGAGAAAGAGAAAGAGAGAAAAGAGAGAAAGAGAAAGAGAGAGAGAGAGAGAAAGAGAATGAGAGAGAGAGAGAAAGAGAAAGAGAGAGAGAAAGACCGACACTCCAATTCAATAGAGAGAGAGAGAAAGAGAAAGAGAGAGAGAGAAAGAGAAAGAGAGAGAGAGAGACCGCCACTCCATCAGAGTACAAATTCGTACAAGCAGGGGATAGTTTTCGACATCTACTATAGAAAAACTATAGCCCCTCCCCGCCCATGCCTTCCGATCGAAACGCCGGAAGATCGACTCTTTCTCCTCTTTCACCCCTCCCCTCCCATGCCTTCCGATCGAAACGTCGGAAGATCGACTCTTTCTCCTCTTTCACTTAACCCTTCCACCGTCACTGATGGCTTTACAATCAACGATGGGTGGCTCGCTTATGTTTCCCTAATATACCATATTCTTCCACCGAACACAACGCACCTTCATTTTGACTGTACCGGGCCGGAAACATACCTCGTATACGTTCATTTTCAGGGCGTGTTATGTTCGGGGGAAGACGGTAGCTTTCCATTCCCTGGAACCTTTTCCACCCCCTACTACCTTTGCAATTGTGCCATAATAGGAATTCGGAGAGGGGGATGAAACAAAGTAAGAAAACAAGCACTATAAACGGCATGAAAGGAAAACAAGGACAGATGCGAAAAAGTAAGAAACAGAGGGACAAAAAAGTAAGAAATCAAGGACTATAACAGAGGGACAAAAAAGTAAGAAATCAAGGACTATAAACGGCATGAAAGAAGGCGATTGAACATTAAAACAAGAACAGGGACAAATATGGTAAGAAACAGAGGGACAAAAAAGTAGAGACAAAGGACTATAAACGGCATGAAAAAAGGCAATTGAGCATCAAAACTCCCAACGTGGGATGGAGTTCCTCTTGAGAAAAAAAAAAAAAAAGCACAGAAAAGAAATACCGAGACAAGATCGTATCGACAAGGGGGATGAGGAGATGAGGTCCTTTCGTACATCCGTTTACTTGGAACGATACAGAGAAGGGTAATCGGCATGGCCTCTGCGCAAGGATGACAAGGAGGAATCGAGAAGAGGGAAAAAGTAAAGGACGGAGAGAAGAAGTACCGAGACAAGATCGTATCGACAAGGTAGATAAGTCCTTCTGAACATCCGTTAAATTGGAAAACGATACCGAGAAGAGTAATTATCATGGCCTCTGCGCAAAGATGACAAGCATGAATCGAGAAATAGCCCACTAAAAAGAGAGAAACGATACAGAGAAGGGTAATTACCATGGCCTCTGCGCAAAGATGACAAGCATGAATCGAGAAATGGCCCACTAAAAAGAAACAGGAGGGTCTGATACAGAAAGGCAGAAAAGTGACATACAAAACGTTAAAAAAACGTGGAAACGTTTAGTGCGTGAGATTACCTGCACTGCAAGAAGTAGGAGGGTCCTTCTGAAGATCCTTCCACTCCTTCAGGATGCGCTTGGACGCCATGATCGCAACCCGCTGGAAAGGCGCTCTGCCCCCTCCCCCCCCTCCCCCTTCCCCCCCACTTCTCCACCCGCCGCCCCCTGCACCACCAAAATGCTCACTCGTTTATTACGCACAAGGACCGATGCGCCTGTTGCTTGACGATTTCCACGTCGCCAGTTCGATTCCTGATCCCTTCTCGTTAACTCTTGAATTCTCCTCAATCGATTTCGGCCTTCCAGACTTCGTCACATAGGTTTAGGTTGGCAGAGAATCTCGTTGCTCTCCTCGTTCATTGTCAGCTTCTTCCTGAATAAGCACACGCAACCACCAACCAAAAGGTAACCACAAGGACACCACAAGCTCATCCTACGGTAGCAGTTGTCTTCCGGCTGAAGTCGAGTTACCTTACAGCTGAACTCGAGTTGCCTCACTGCTGAACTCGTACGTCAGAAAGATCGCAGACACACGAACGACAGATTAGCACAGGAATACCCTTGTTAAACAGACTGGCAAATGAACATCGGTAAAATTCAGACTTGACATGACAAATGGACTTCGTTAAATGTCAAGACTTTGCATCATAACGACTGCATGATGACATCATATAAGACTGGTATATCAAATCACAGCGAAACCTCAAACAAAGAGCCGTCTTCCCGCTTGTCTTCTCCTACGCACCTCCCGTGTTTCAACAAGCACCTCTCTCTCTCTCTCTCTCTCTC